ACCCCCCCCCCCCCCCCCCCGGACAAAAAGAAAGAAAGAAAGAATTATAAGGAGACTTTGACTTTTTCTTGTTTTAAAACAAGACGAGAATCTGATTATTTGATGCCTGCCAGTGTCTAAATTAAATATTCCAAGAGATAAGAAATCAAACTTTTTTGGCTGGCTGTGTAACCTGTGTTGATCCAACAAGCTAGCTGGTTCGACAAGAAACTAAAATGGCAGGCGATGGTGGCAACAGAGAACAAGAAGAAGAAGTCAGACACTTAGACTGCAAAGAAGAAGAAGAAGAAGAGTCTGCTGTGAAAACAGTGCCCCTGTACAAGCTGCTCTTCTCGTTTGCAGATTCAACGGACATCATGTTAATGGCTGTGGGCATAATCGCTGCAGTTGCCAATGGTCTCTCCCTCCCCTTCATGACCCTTCTCTTCGGGGACATCACTAATGCCTTTGGACAAAACCAAAGCAACAACCACATCGTTCACGCCGTTTCTAAGGTAGTAGCTAGGATCAGAGTAATCAATAAGCCACCCAAATTCTACTACTAGCTAATTAACTTCAGTCTCTCTCTCTATATATATATATATAATGAGGTTGGTTGCCTTGTTATATGCAATAATCAACCTGTATTAGGACGCAGGTGGCACTAAAATTTGTCTACTTGGCCTTGGGGTCTGGCTTAGCTTCCTTTCTTCGTAAGTACACCTACACACATACATATATACACTTGCAGCTTCAAAAAAAACTAGTCAATTTTGATCTTTATATATATCATGTTTGTGTGCGTGTTGTTCGATTCAGAGATGAGTTGTTGGATGGTAAGTGGTGAGAGACAGGCTGCACGGATTCGGAATCTGTATTTGCAGGCCATCCTGAGGCAAGACGTTGCTTTCTTTGATAAGGAAACGAATACTGGAGAAGTTGTTGGCAGAATGTCTGGTGACACTGTTCTTATGCAAGATGCCATGGGCGAAAAGGTACAATCCGAGCTGAGTGAGCATTCCATATATATATATATATATATATATATATATATATATATATATATATATATATATATATATATATATATATATATATATATATATATATATATCTGCATAGATTTCACAAAGGGATCGGGCAACACAGCCATGTCATGAACGACACTAAAAGATTATTACAATTATGTAGGTAGGAAAATTCATTCAGCTAGTATCAACATTCTTGGGAGGCTTTGTAATTGCATTCATCAAAGGCTGGCTTCTAACTTTAGTCATGTTGTCCTCTATACCACTGCTCGTCCTATCTGGTGGCATCATGTCTGTTGTCGTAGCCAAAATGGCATCCCGTGTGTTGGAATGCCTTGAATTCTAACCTATTTGACTAGTCAACAATGGCTGCACCTGTCTGGAAAGTGGCTGGAAACCAGCTGGAAAGTGGCTGGAAGGAGGCCTAGACAATTGGGCAAGTGGGTTGCTAGTTGGTGAGGTGGGCCAGCTGTATGACAGCAGTATTGTGGGCTGTCAACTGCTCAGTTCCCACTGGATTTAGGCAGCCAAGTTGGCTGCCATCTTTCCAATAAATAGGTTCATTTGTAAGGCATTCAGACATAGATCAGTCACCTAGAAAATCCCTCTGTAATCTCTCTCCTCAATCAGTAAAAGCTCTCCTCTCTTCTGTTAGGTGGACGTAGCCAACATATTGTTGGTGAACCACGTTAAATCTGTGTGTGTTTGTTCTTTCGTTTCTTTATTGTTTGTTATCTCTCTTACATCCGTCATAACAAACTGGTATCGG